TCATGTTTGCCATGGTCATGAGGGGCAGGGAAGCATTTGTTTCTCACAATTATTAGCCCTAGTATAGTCAAATTTGAATTTTATAGACCAGATAAGTACAATCTAGATAGATTTCTGTCTTGACCAATAATGGTTCCAGGAAGAATAAGCACAGTACACCCTGCCATAATGCTATAAATAAGGTCCAAAAATTTGCAAATGCATAACATGCACAATCTCATTACTGCAAAAATAATGAAAAACAATACTTTTTGATCAGCTTTCTGGTTGTTATATGATAAAAAGGGGAAAAAACTTTTTTTTCATCTATCAGCTATATAGAAATAGACTGGTTATTAGAAATACATATACACTGAACACTCGTTTCTTTCTCTCTTCTTCCCCCTGGCCCCTACTGCAGAAGATAAGAACATTATCCTGCCTCTTTTGAGAATAGGGGTTGGGAGCCAATAGTCAATCACTTTGTCTTCTAGTTAGCATTGTTATTGGGTATGTAGCATTGTTATTGGGTACGTTATGACAGGACTTCACTGTAATTTAGTGCATTTCAATGAAAAGTATTCCAAATGGGAGTGAAGAGCAAATGCACATCTTGTGGACCTGTGAGTGTAGATCCCAGTGGCTCTCTGCAAGGATAAAATTTCCAAGAAGACTAGTGCTTTATCTTATAATTTACTTGGACTTTAAATTCATTCAATAATATATACAAATTTGTTTTAATATATAATTCAAATGATGCTGGTGCTCTAGAAGTAATAATAACTGACATTTATTTATCCTGTGGCTTTATGTACACACTAGCATACGACTACATGTGTTTCCCAGACCACAGTGATGTACCCAAGGGATTATATAACTCAACTAGTAAATTTTAAAAATATTTAAGCTAAAGAGAATCTGAAAGTGATTGGTTATTGCACACTTGCCAGAATTCCCTCTGTCCCTTTTTCAGGTTTACATGTTTATACTAAACCTTTCCATTTCTCTCCTTGTTTCTCCTTTTATCATCATTTATTTCTCTCCATCCTAGAAAATTATCACCTGGCTACCTATGACTTTAGTACCTCTCTTGAAAACTGTCTTTGCTCTAAAGCACAACTCCACTCTCAGGTAAAGTGCTGTGAGGGATCCCAATGCATCAAACATAGCTATGAGATGGAGTGAAGCAGGAAGGGAGCCTTAGCCCTTAGTGTCTGCACCTCTGTCACCTTGAATAGTCCCTTCTTTACTTCTTAGAAATCTGGGGCTCTCATCATCACAGCTTGTAAACAGCTTTCTTCACGAATCTAGTTAGTTATTAAAACATATGCTTCATTTTATACTTTTGTATGCAGAGAGAGAAAATTTAATCCTCAGAATCCTCAATCTTTCAGAAATTTGAAGAACAGCATCGAAACATGTATATCTAGGGTGAAACAGATCACCAGCCCAGGTTGGATGCATGAGACAAGTGCTCAGGCCTGGTGCACNTCTTTCTTTTCTTTTGAAGTTAGAGCAGTGTTAAAACCTTCTATCTTAGCTTAAAAAGGTCAAAAGAGGTGTCTCATGGTCCAGATCTTTGTTTTTATCTTTTTAGAATTAAAAAAAATTAAGTAGAGGATAATTGCTATCCTAATAAACAATAATTGCTATTGTTTATTTCTGCCATACAACAACTTGATTTTTGTTTTTAGCTTGACTGCTAGCCTATGGCCAGGGTCACCCTTTACTCTTTTTTTTAAAAAATAGAGATAATTGTCTATTATATGTCTAATTGCAATGTTCCCTTCTCCTGAAAGGCAAGCTTTATCTTCCAATACACCATTACAAAGTAATAAGTATGATTAGTCAATCAGGGCAAGAGCAATGTTTAAGAGTTTGTAGAACTTCTTATGCTTTTATTCCCTTTCTCTGTAATCAGTACTTATTCTGTTATCTTTGCAAGGAAGGGGCTGACTTCGTGGTCCTGTGGAAGAGGGTGGTGTTTGATAGTTTATCAATCCCATCTCTTCCTAGATATAGAGACTTCTGTCACACAGCCATTGACCAGGAATGTTAGTCTGCAGAATTTTTAAAGGATTGTTTGGTATAGTTGATATGGCAGATACTACACTGTTATAGACCTCCTGAAACATATCAGAGGATTTGAAATAATAGACACCAAATGAGGACCTTATGACATTTGGAACCATTTCGAGGACAAATTGAATAAGTTCCTTCCTTAAAACCGCTTACACCGAAACAGGTACTAGCTTCAGAGTGGAAACCAGGAGCCCACAACCAGCTATGCTGCCCTATTTAGAAATCAGATGAAGATGCTACAGGTGGTGCTAGGTTGTTGGCAGGAGGTCCTGGAGAATACATGACTGACAGGTGAATCCAGCAGGAGCTGCCTTCGGTCGATGGGACCTCCTCATCCCTCCCCCATCCTTGGAATATACATTCGGCCCAGCGCTCCTGCAGTGGGAGCCGTTGTGAAGAAGGCAGCCTGGAGAGAGGAGGGTGTTGCTGAGACCACCTGGCCTGAAAAGGNGGACTGTAGCCCGTCTGGCTTCTCTGTCCATGGGATTTCCCAGAGAAGAATACTGGAGCGCGTTGCCATTTCCTTCTTCAGGGGACCTTCCCAATCCAGGGATCAAACCCACATCTCTCGAGTCTGCTGCAGTTCTTTACCACTGCATTGACAGGTTCTTTACCACTAGCACCACCTGGGAAGCCCAGAAACTGTTTATGGCCCTCATATTTCTCAACTGTTTAATGATCTCTGAAAATTTGCAGACTTTTCTTTTGGTTCTTGTGCTTTATGACCTTGGCTAAGCCTCCCAACCTCAGAGTCTCAATGTGCTTAGCTACAAAGTGAAGATAATATCTACCTTTATGTGTTGCTATAAGAGCTGAATATGATGTATTTAAAGCCTATTTTTGTGATGTGGGTCCTTTTATTTTTGTGAGGAGGGGCAGGTTTTCTCTTAATTTTTGAAAAGGTATTATATATTTTAGGTTGGGTATGTAGTGTTAAAATTGAAGAATTTTAGAGCCAACAGGAATATGAAGGATGAGACCTCCTTGCAGCCACATGAAATAGTGGAAAGACTTAGGATTTTGGCATCTCAAAGATCTAGGTTTGAATGCTGGGTTTGCCACTTGATTTTTAAAATGTTCTTTTATGGATTCACTTACTATTGATTCAATGTCAATATTGGCATTGATTAGAATTTACCTCCTGCTGTGGTTTAATCCCAGATATAAGACCCTGGTGAGACTGATTCAGAAGAGCCCAGGAGCTATTTATGGTCCTCTTATTTCTCAACTGTTTAATGGTCTCTGAGATTTTGCAGACTTTCCTTATGGTTCCAGTGCTTTATGACCTTGGCTAAGCTTCTTAACCTCTGAGCCTCAAGTTCTTAGTTGCAAAGTGAGGATAATATCTGCCTTTACGTGTTGTTTTGAGAGTTGGATATGATATGTTTAAATCCTATAGCACAGTGCCTGCCTGCATCGGTTAGCTATTTGTTTCTGGCATTTGACAAGCTTGTATAGGAGAATGTTTTGGAACATGGAGGTCATTGCTTTGTGAGAAGACTGGTTACACTATAGCTCAGTTCTCATTCAGATCAATGATAGGTCCTGGTTTGCCTTCCCAGCAATAATAAGCTTAATTGCACTAAGATAACATGAGCTTTCGAATGTTTGAGGACAGACATTGCATCTCCTCTTCTCTAGGTTTTACATTTCAGTTTCTTGTCACATTAATTTGTTGCATTCAGTTTGTTGTTACATTAATATTAATAATCTTAATATTATTCCAAGAGATTATCTCAAGATCCTTTATCCTTCTGAACACAATTTCGAACATCAATTTCTCTTTTCAGTGTGGAATCTAAATCAGGGTTCAATATTCTGGAATTAGTGCCAGCAACACAAACTCAGAATATTGATAGATACTCAGTCATTGGCAAACCAAGCCACCTTAGTTAGAAAATTTTGCACTTCACATCTTAAGGCTTCAATTTTCTCATTTATAATATGAGTTGCTGGAACTAAACAACACCTAGGATTGCTTCTCTGAGTTACATATTTCAACTCATATGGATGGAGATTATATTTCTTAGATAGTGAAAAGTGAAAGTGAGTCACTCAGTCACATCCTCCTCTTTGCAACCCCATGGACTGTAGCCTGCCAGGCTTCTCTTCCTTGGAATTCTCCAGGCCAGAACACAGGAGTGGGTAACCGTTCCCTTCTCCAGGGGATCTCCCTAACCCAGGGATCGAACCCAGGTCTCCTGCACTGCAGGCAGATTCTTTACTGCTTGAGCCACCAGTGAAACTCTTGTTTAATTTCACAAACAATGTTTCTTTTTAATTGGGCATCTGCTTTGTGTTAGACTCTGTTATACCAAAAAAGAAAAAGCATAAAAATATCCCTCCTCAAGGGGTTTATGCCATCTTAGTGAAAAGACATGAAGCAGTTTTAAAAGGAGAAAATAAGAAAAGTGTCTTGTCTCTAGTCATTCAGCTTTCACACAATGCGTGTTCTATATTTAACAAAAGTTAAAGTTATTGTCAGTAGCGATACTCTACTTATTAAAGTAGTAAAACTGACATTAGAAAATAAAATGTCTTATAAAAATAGATTTGAGGCTGTTACTGTAGATAGGCTTCCCTGATAGCTCAGTTGGTAAAGGATCTGCCTGCAATACAGGAGACCCCGGTTTGATTCCTGGGTCGGGAAGATCCACTGGAGGACATACAGGCTATCCACCCCGGTATCCTGGGCTTCCCTTGTGACTCAACTGGTAAAGAATCCAGTGTGGGAGACCTGGGTTTGATCCCTGGGTTGGGAAGATGCCTTGGAGAAGGGAATGGCTACCCACTGCAGTCTTCTGGCCTGGAGAATTTCATGGACTGTCTAGTCCACGGGGTTGGACACGACTGAGCGACTTTCACTTCACTTCACTTCACTTCACTGTAGATACAGTAGGAGATGGTGAGTGGCATCTCTGACGTTGGCATCTGCAAGCTGAGCTGGAATTAAGAATCACTCTCACTCAGCACAGTCCTCATTCTTTGAGTCTGGGAACTGTTCGTCCGTCTGAGAATATTAACAACAGATCAAAGACACAGCGGGCCTCTGTGGCCTGGGTGATTTCACACACTGGTGTTGTCTGCTGAACCTCTCTCCACCTCTCTGCCTGGGGAGCACGGAGCATTTTTAGACATCTCTCACTCACCCTGAGGCCCTGCACTGCTGTGCTTTTTGTTCCCTCTTTCCCCATCTGCTTGTGTTTTCCTGATATTGAAGAATATTAACAGGCAGAGATACCGATAGGAAGTCATGTTTCAACAATGAGACTGCTAAAACATTATTTCAGAACAATGATGAAAGAAAATCATTGCCTTTAATGCTTTATTTTCAAAAGTCGAAAACCATGTTTTTTTGTTTTTTTCTTTTCAGATGAAACTTGTTTCAGAGGTTTCTCTTCCTTAGCTGTTCCTTCCCTCCATGGCCTCAGGAGGCTCCTGGTGTCAAGAACCAAAGAGAACTTCTCTTTTCCAGGGGACCCAGGCTGATTTTTGCCTGGCGAGACTCTCATTTACCCTCTGTCCCAAGCTGAGCCTGAATAGAGGTTGTAAATATCTCTCTCCCTCCAAAGGGGATCAGGGCAGAGTCCTGGCAGTTTTGATGACAACACATTCTTTAGTGGGTCTGGAATGTTTTCCCCAGGCTTGTTTCATCTTGAGCTCATTTTGCTGTAATTTATTCTGGGCGGCATGTTTCTGCATCTGTCCATTCAGATAAGAGGCATATGTATGTGTGCATGTGTTTTGTGTTCATCTATTTGTCATTTATGTTGCTGATTAAAAGCCATAGATAAATACGCTATTCAGCATCAAGAGAGGCTAATCACAAATAACATGTGGCAACCTCAAAAGATTTAATTCTGCATTTTGTTTAAAAGGCAGAAAACTTGAGTGAGTGGATCTCAGCAGGGTGTATGAAGATCACAGTTCACACTGGAAATAGTTCTTTCTTGGCAGGCGGATTTGTGAGCCTGACAATGTTTGCTGTTTATTGGGATGGACCCGTCAAAGTCCCTCCTCTCTCTTCTGTCTATTTGAGTCTATTGTCCTCTAAATGGCACCTTCTCATGAGCAGTTACCCTTGTCCTACTGTGCCAGCTGACATTTTACTAGTCTGTAATTAAGAAACTCGGTTTTATATGAGTCCTATAAGATCTGTTTATTTGTCAACTCTGCAGATAAACCCTTCTACCCTGGAGGTATCCCAGGGACAGGAACCATCTGTCATTACTTCCAGAGAAACGTCTAAAGCTACTTGGTTATTATTTTGCTGCCTGCTTTAATACCCAGATTTACCCTTATGATCACTTATGGTTCATGGTGTCCCAATTATGTGCAAGGCTTTGTCTTGGTTCCCATCTGAGTTAAAATGATGAACTCTTATGACCTATGGTGGAGCTGAATAATGAGTTGCAATAAATGCCCAAATAATTTAACTGAAAAAGTTTTATTTAAGGAAAATAGTTTAATTTTTATAATGTTTGATCTAATCGAAACAGATGAGCTTTGTGAAAAAAAGTCACTGGGTCATTGATCAATGCTGCAATTCACTTAGCACGGATGGTTAGGCCAAATATTGTCAAAGAGCTTATGGTGCTATACTGGGACATGGGAGTCATGTGATTGATGCAAACTGACCTATAAAACCCAGACTAGAAGTGCAGTTAAGTGGGAAGCATTTGGCAGGTGTTATTAGTAGCTTCCTAACTAATTTGTTGCCACTCAACCCATGTGTAGTAGGCTGAATAATATCCCCTTCCCAAGATAGCCAGGTTCTAATCCCTGGAATCTGTGAATGTGATCTTGTATGTTAATAGGTACTTGGAAGATCCAGTTCAAGATCTTGAAAGGGAGATCAGCTTGGATTATCCAGATGGGCTCAATGTAATGACAATGGCCTTAATAAGAGGGAGGCAGAGGAGATTTCATCACACACAGAAGAGAGAAGGCCATGGGCCAGTCTCAGCAGAGATGGGGAGAGGGAGAGATTTGAAGATGCTGCCCTGCAGACTTGGAAGATGGAGGAAGGGGCCCTGAGCCAAGGAATGTTAGCAGCGCAGCTCCTGAAGCTGAACAAAGGAAGGAAACCATTCTCCTCTTGAGCCTCTGGTGGGACCATGACCTTGCTGGACCTTGGTTTCAGCCCAGTGTAACTGATTTCATACTTCTGATTTCTAGAGCTATAAGAGAACAAACCTGTGCTGTTTAAAGCCACCCAGCTTGTGGTAATTTGTTACAGCAGCAATAGGAAACTAATACACCACCTCCACTCCATCCTGCACATTTTGGCCAGATTGATGTTTGTCAAACACAGCTCTGTCAAATCCCCTTCATCAAATCAATTTAGTAGTTCAATTCTGCTTCCTAAACACTGTTGGGTATCCCCTAGGTGGCAAGTTCTGTGCTGTTTCTGGGGATGCAGACATCAAGAAGCAGTAGTTCTTGTTTTCTAGTGGCTTATATTCTGTTGAAGAAGATATACAAACTGGCCAAATTTAAATAAACATCAGTCAGAGATATTTTTGAGGATGCACAGAACCCTTTGGGAGCACAGAAGAGTGGTCTCTCCACTGTCCTCTTGGGATACTCTAGGGGTGGGCTGTGTGGTTGGTGATGAGAGGTTATGCTGGGGAGAAAAAGCTATGGACTGAATTGTTCTTGCTGTTTCGTCACTCAGTGGTGTCTGACTCTTTGCGACCCTGTGGACTGTAGCCTGCCAGGCTCCTCTGTCCATGGGATTTTCCCCGTAAGAATACTGGAGTGGGTTGCCATGCCCTCCTCCAAGGGACCTTCCGCACCCGGGGATCAAACCCATGTCTCCTGTGTCTCTTGCCCTTTAGGCAGCTTCTTTACCACTGAGCCACCACGGAAGCCCTCAGATTGAATTGTTACCTCCTCCAAATGTAGATGCTGAGATCTTAACCTTCCAGTGTGACTGTATTCGGAGTAAGGAAGTAAGTTAGGTTAAATGAAGTTATAAGGATGGGGTTCTGATTTGATAGAGTTAGTGTCCTTGCAAAAGGAAATGCAAGATTGCTTGTGCTGTCTGTCATGTGGAGACACAGTGAGAAGGTGGTCGTCTGCAGACCAGGGACAGGGGTTTCGCCAGGAATTGAACTGGAACTGATCTTAGACATCTTAGCCTCTAGAAGTGTAAGAAAACAAATTTTTGTTTAAGCCACCCAGTCTGTGGTACTGTATTCTGGCAGCCTGAGCTAACACAGCATCCATGCTCCTTTTTAGGAGGAAACTGAGGATCAGAAATATGACTTTACCCTTTAAAAATGGAAATTAGCTTTTAATCAGGAAGGTGCTTACTAGCTAGATAGGAAACTTCTGTCAACTTTTTGACATGCAGAGAGAAGATAAGAATCCTCCTAGTGCTAATAAACTTTTTAATTTACTTTGTTATACACATTAAGGTAATTTAAGAAGATTCCCTAGTTACAAATGTTTGTGAAACATTGTTTGAATAAATTACTTAAGTCATAAAAGAGTGGCTATTGTGAAAATTAATACTGGTTCAAACATTGCATGAGTTGATATAAACAGTAATTTTAATAAGTGTTTCTTAAAGAAGCACTGTATTCAAAGATTATAAATACCTTTCTTATTTTAAAAGTCATTCCACTCTTACTTCCTCACATCAGGATACATGTGAGAATAAAATGATACCTAATTTCCCCCCTTCCCCCTGAAACTGAAGCATAGTGTAATGCTTTTTTATTTTTCACAGAAGGAAGAGGTCAAACTGTGGAGAGATTTGTACATGGCTCTACAGGGGTTCAAATTTATCCTGTTAATGAAAACACATGAAAGAAATTTTTAAAAATTAGTTTTAATTGTGGTGAAACATATCTAATGTTAAATTTACCATCTTAGCCATTTTATAAATGTACAGTTTAGTAGTGTTATGAGACCAATCTCCAGAACTCTTTTCATTTTGTAAATCTGAAATTCTGTATCCATTAAATGACATGCCATTTTTCTGTTACTGCCAGACCCTAGCAACCACCATTCTACTTTCTGTTTCTATGAATTTGACTACTCTAGATACCTCATATAAGTGGACTCATATGCATTCGTATTCTTGTGATGGCTTATTTCACTTAGCACAGTGTCCTCAAGGTTCATCTGAATTGCAGCAGGTGTCAGAATCTTCTTCTCTTTTAAGGCTGAATAACTCTATTGTATGTATATACCTCCTTTGTTTGTTCAGTCATCTGTTGATGGACACGTGAGTTGCTTCCACCTTTTAGCTGTTGTGAATAATGCTTCTAGGAACAGGGATGTGTGAATATCTCTTAGAGAGTCTGCTTCTTTCAATTCTTTTTTTTTTTTCTTTTGGATGTGGACCATTTTTAAAGTCTTTATTGAATTTGTTACAATTTTGTTTCTTTTTTCTGGTTTGGGTTTTTGGCCTGGAGGCATGTGGAACCTTAGCTTCTGGATCAGAAGCTGCATTGGAAGGTGAAATCTTAACCACTGGACTGCCAGGAAGGTTCCTGTTTTCAATTCTTTCAGTTGTGTACAGAGCTGGGATTTATAGATTTATAGATCATGTAGTAATTCCATTCTTATTTTTCTGAGGAACCTTCATGCCATTTTCCACAGTGGCTGTACATTTTATACTCCCACTAACAGTGCACAAATGTTCCATTTTTTCCACATGCCCCCCAACAGCTGTTGTTCTCTGTTTTGTTTTTTGATAGTAGTCATCCTAATAGGAGTGAGGTAGTATCTTTTTTGTAGCTTTTGATTTGCATTCCCCAAATGATTAGTAATATTGAACAACTTTTCATGGGCTTATTGGCCATTGGTATACCATCTTTGGAGAACCCTGGAAGAAATTTTAAACAACGACATGACATAGTGAGATGCGGTTCAGAAATGTCACAAGAACAACCAAGTGGAAGATAGAATATACAGAAAGTGACAGTGAAAATGAAAGTCGCTCAGTCATGTTCGACTCTTTGCGACCCCGTGAACTGTTCCTCTGTCCGTGGAATTCTCCAGGCCAGAATACTAGAGTGGGTAGTCATTCCCTTCTCCAGGGGATCTTCCTGACCCAGGGATCAAACCAAGGTCTCCCACATTGTAGGCTAGTCTGAGCTACCAGGGAAGCCAGGATTATACAGGAAAGATGACCAAATGCAGGGCAACTAAGACATGCCATTTTTCTGTTACTGCCAGACCCTAGCAACCACCATTCTACTTTCTGTTTCTATGAATTTGACTACTCTAGATACCTCATATAAGTGGACTCATATGCATTCGTATTCTTGTGATGGCTTATTTCACTTAGCACAGTGTCCTCAAGGTTCATCTGAATTGCAGCAGGTGTCAGAATCTTCTTCTCTTTTAAGGCTGAATAACTCTATTGTATGTATATACCTCCTTTGTTTGTTCAGTCATCTGTTGATGGACACGTGAGTTGCTTCCACCTTTTAGCTGTTGTGAATAATGCTTCTAGGAACAGGGATGTGTGAATATCTCTTAGAGAGTCTGCTTCTTTCAATTCTTTTTTTTTTTCTTTTGGATGTGGACCATTTTTAAAGTCTTTATTGAATTTGTTACAATTTTGTTTCTTTTTTCTGGTTTGGGTTTTTGGCCTGGAGGCATGTGGAACCTTAGCTTCTGGATCAGAAGCTGCATTGGAAGGTGAAATCTTAACCACTGGACTGCCAGGAAGGTTCCTGTTTTCAATTCTTTCAGTTGTGTACAGAGCTGGGATTTATAGATTTATAGATCATGTAGTAATTCCATTCTTATTTTTCTGAGGAACCTTCATGCCATTTTCCACAGTGGCTGTACATTTTATACTCCCACTAACAGTGCACAAATGTTCCATTTTTTCCACATGCCCCCCAACAGCTGTTGTTCTCTGTTTTGTTTTTTGATAGTAGTCATCCTAATAGGAGTGAGGTAGTATCTTTTTGTAGTTTTTGATTTGCATTTCCCAAATGATTAGTAATATTGAATAACTTTTCATGGGCTTATTGGCCATTGGTATACCATCTTTGGAGAACCCTGGAAGAAATTTTAAACAACGACATGACATAGTGAGATGCGGTTCAGAAATGTCACAAGAACAACCAAGTGGAAGATAGAATATACAGAAAGTGACAGTGAAAATGAAAGTCGCTCAGTCATGTTCGACTCTTTGCGACCCCGTGAACTGTTCCTCTGTCCGTGGAATTCTCCAGGCCAGAATACTAGAGTGGGTAGTCATTCCCTTCTCCAGGGGATCTTCCTGACCCAGGGATCAAACCAAGGTCTCCCACATTGTAGGCTAGTCTGAGCTACCAGGGAAGCCAGGATTATACAGGAAAGATGACCAAATGCAGGGCAACTAATGAGGAGGTTCTCACAATTTCTATACTGATACTTCATTACTTTCAAAGAAAAGATCTTCTGTTGGCATTAAATTTCCCCCATACACTCTCAGTCTTTTCCCCAAATCTCACTTGTGTTATATTTTCTCATGTCTTCTTCAAGATAGGCTGTTTGTCCCATTAGCACTCCTATCTCATAACTTTGTGATTCCTTTTTGCATTGGAATTGTACTTACTTCTCTTCCTACCCGAGAATATAGCTCTACAGTAGTTTCCTCTTATCTGCTAGTGATATATTTCAAGGCCCCCAGTGGATGCCTGCAAACTTGGATAGTACTGAATTATATATACATGTATATATATACTATGTTTTTTCCTATATGGACACATTTATGATAAAGTTTAATTTATAAATGAGGCACAGTAGGAGATTAACAACAGTAACTAATAATAAATTAGAACAATTATAACAATATACTGTAATAAAAGTATCTGAATGTGGTCTCTCTCCATCAAAGTATCTTATTGTATAAACATAATGCCTTTTCATCTGACCTAAACACTTACCATGCACTGTGGCTGTAACTTTTGCAGTTGAGGTGTGTCAGGAGGGGTAAAATTTCCCCTCTATTCCTGTTGAGTTCTTGTGGCTGGAGTAACAATAAAATTGGCACAAGGCAGATCAAAAGGAGAAAAAAAAAACACATTTTAATCCATGGGTATGAAGGTCCCAAGAAATGACCAAAGCAGGCAGTTTTTGTACTTTTTAAGCAAAGAAACAAATTTGTGAGGAATTGACTAGGCTAAGAAACTTTGGTTTGGGTGCTTAATCAGTGAGTAAACAGACGTTGGTATTGGGGTAGTGGATTAAAAGAAGCAAAGCAACAAGGTTTGTTTATACAGGCTTCTGGGCTCTGAATTACCAGTCCCTGATGATAAGGGTGCTTCTACCTCCAGATACAGGGGGTGCACTTTCTACATGAGAGATGTATTTCCTCTTTGCAGGGAGACAGAAAGGAGAGTCAGATTTTCTTTCTTGAATCAGCTGCTTCTCAAGCAGCTTCAATTCAAAATAATCAATATGCCATCATGGTATATTTTGGTGTGACCTACACTGAGCCCCAACAGGTGTAACAACACAACTAGCATGAATTTCTTTTTTCTTCTTCACAATCTCACAGATGGAAGATTTCTTACTGTAGATCTTGGCACCTCAGCGTACCATTTTTTTCCCCTTATTAAGCTGAGAACTTTCACCTTTTCACTTAAAGGAAGCACTTTACAGTTTCTCTTTGGTGTATGTAAATTGCCAGCATTGCAACTCTTGCACTTTGGAGCCTTTGTTAAATAAAATAAGAGAGACTTGAACACCAGCCCCATCATGACAATAACCGAGAAGTGACTAATGGGCAGACATGCTGGACCAAGGGATGATTCACATCCTGGTAGGAATGGTACTGACATCCTGAGATTTTATCCCAGTCCTCAGAATGGTGGGCAATTTAAAACTTACGAGTTGCTTATTTCTGGAATTTTCCATTTAGTATTTTATAACCACTGTTGACAGTGGGGAACCGAAACTATAGCAAGAGAAACTGAGGTTAAGAGGGGACTACTGTATACCTTTCCTTATGTCACATCTTGGTTTCTCTCCTCCTCAGAGAGCATTCTAACCCAGCTTGGTGAGCTCGCTGTCTTTCATGCATATGCATTCACTTAGCACTTCTCATGAATATATCATTATGAGTTACATGTGTGTACAGAATGACAAAGTCCTTGAGAACATAGATGTCTTCTTCTGTCTATATGTGTCTATGTCAATATCAGACCTTACTTTGTTGGGTCTGTTTGTAATGAACAGTGAGTGTTTGTTTCTATGATAAAAAATGAATAAATGAGTTTGGGAATACTTTGAATTAGGTTGCATTTATACAACTAAAATTATCTGCGTAATTTGGCTTTTTATGCATATATAATGGTGCTTCATCAAGTCAGACTCAAAATAAAATTGCTCTCAGAAAATATACGGAAATGGGAAGCAGTAGTATCAAGCAATATTTTAGGAAGGAAAATTCACATTACTTTTGAAATCTTCTGTGGGCCAGACGCCATACATGTTGTTTAATCCCCACAGTAATTTTCTGCACTAGGGATTAATATCCCCTTTTAAAGATGAGGGATTTAGGGAAGTTCAGGGAGATTAGCATGAAGAAAGACTGAAATAGATGGAATACTTTGTTTCATAATGGTCTTGGGCAGAAGACCAAATGAAGAATTAGCCCAGGTTAGTGAGAATGGGAAGGTAGAGAATAGGTTCTGGAAATGCCTAAGAAGTAAAATAGGTAGCTTCTGGGTTTGGGAGCAATAAGGAGACAGGAATCTCAGGTTTCTGGCTGAAGACAGTAGAATTTGGTGCCATTCACCAACGAGGAGCAGAAAAGGAGCACTTTTGGGGCCACAGACCTGAGGTTGCCATGGGACAGTCAGGTGAAGTCAGGTGCGTCGCTGATCCGGCTCAGTGCCAACTGTCGCTTATCCCACTGTCTGCACTGCTCGCTGAACCCAGGGCAGGCAAGGCGCGAGCTGAGAGGCTGGAAGAAGGCTCGAGGAGCCGTTGGAACTGCTGACACGTTTCTTCTCTTGCGGCTAGCACAGCAGCGGTAGCACCAGACATAGCATAACACAACAGAACCGCACACAACCCTTCCGGGCTTTCCCAGGTGACCATCACGCAGGTGTACCGCACAAAGTAGCCGGCGGACAAGCGAGTACCTCGTGACGCGCATGCGTAGTGCTATAAGAGAGCTCCGCTGTTACCCAACGGTGCAGCGTCATTGATGGCCGAACATGAGGCGAGAGAGGCTGTCCGGCGCCATCTTGTTCATTTTCCCACATCAGGTGACAGAAATACAGGCCTAAAAGAAATACAGGCCTTCTTTAGAAGTCTCAGCTGAAGAAGCAGTCCTAGAATCATGGGATAAATGGATTCAGCCGTTCAGCAAATAGCTGTTGTCAAGACTATACTAATAGCAGCCAGCCTCGGGTGTAGGCAATGAGACGGTGTATTGGCTATACAGAATAAAACTGAGTAAGTGTTGATCTTATTACTATCCTCAAAGTGCCACAATACCAGTAGTAAAATACTCCTCCTTGAAAAAAGTCTTTTGTTAATTTAAATTCTAAACAATTGCTGCGGTTGCTATTGGTTTTAGCAATATATCTGCAAGCTACAAATTAGCACATTTTAATTCTTATCCGATATTCACAAACATTGTCTTCTACATGGGGGAATTAATTCAAAGACTTCCTTGTTATGTATTCATCCCTTGACACACGGGAACTCAGCTACATGCTTTTGTTTCAAGAGTAAGTTTATAATTGTTCGGAATTACTTGAAGTACACTTGTGCTTGAATTCTTGTCTGCATTCTCAGTGATGCTACATATTTTTGCATTTAAACAGTAGATTAGATATTAACAATGCTAGCACAATGAATTGTGAAGGTGAAGAAACAGAACTTGTGTTATGCCAATTCTGTCATGCCATTTGACACTTGGAAATTTTACATTTGTGTTTTAGAACAGTGGGAAATTGTTAAGTGTGAATTTTAGCTCATATCTGAAATATTTTACTCAGTTTGAATAATGTTTTAAAACTTAATTTTTTAAAAAAAATTTCAGCTTTATTGAGGTATAATTGACAAAATTGTAAGATATTTAAATTGTACATCACAGTGACTTGACACAAATAGACATCAAGAAAGGATTACTGAATCTCATTAATTTCAAACACATACATCATTTCACTTATCTATCTCCGCCCCCCCCCCTTTTTTTCTGGGTGAGACCATTTCAGTTCCATCCTCCCAGCAGACCTCAGTCATACAACACATTTTATCAACTACAGTCACCACATTATACGTTGGCTCCTCAGATATTATTCATCTTATAGCTGAAAGTTTGTTTGCCTTTACCAACCTCTCCTTTTCCCCAGCCCCTGCCACTGAATAATGTTTTAAAATGCAAATTTATCCTTCATTGTGTGTTGTATTAAAATTAAAGGCAAATTGAGAAAATAATGATTACTACTAATTATTTTGTGATGATTTCTGAAAATAATTTTGTTGCCTAGATGAGGAGAATGTTAAAAATGATCTGACTTGAAATCTGACTAAGTAAGGACCATACCTCCATGTCTAAGGAGCTGTTCTAGGCTCTCTGGATTTAACTGTAAGTAAAACTATGAGAGTTTATAGGTTGGTATGGATGAAATGGCCCAGGGAGAATTTGTAAGGCAGGTGAAGACAATTCAGTGCTGACCTTTGGAAAAAACAGCTTCTGAAAGACAGTTTGGAAAAAGAGGTGCCCAGAAACTGGACAAGGAGTGGACAGAGGGGAAGGAGAAATGGTAAGAAAGAACAGAGTCAGGGACTTCAGGGGAGAACTTTCAGCACAGGATGGTTGACAGCATTCAGTGTGACTGCCACTGCTGCTGAATCGCTTCGGTCGTGTCCAACTCTGTGCGACCCCACAGACGGCAGCCCACCAGGCTCCCCCGTCCCTGGGATTCTGCAGGCAAGAACACTGGAGTGGGTTGCCATTTCCTTTTCCAATGCATGAAAGTGAAAAGTGAAAGTGAAGTCGCTCAGTCGTGTCTGACTCTCAGCGACCCCATGGACTGCAGCCCACCAGGCTCCTCTGTCCATGGGATTTTCCAGGCAAGAATACTGGAGTGGGGTCAGTATGACTAAGAAAAAAAAATTGGTTGGAAGATTACCTTTGGCTTTGAGCATTAGAAAGTGATCGGCGACCTTCCTGACAATATGTCTGTGGTTAGGGGAATCCCAGTTGAGGATGGGAATGAGGTTCCTTAGTCTTCACTCTCCATAGGGAAAGTAAGATGAGGCAGAGAGAGTGTGAAACTGTTTGTCCTTTTGAAAAGAAATACATGTTCATTGTGAAAAATGGCATAAACTTGATCATTAAAGGAACAGTAAACCCATTTTCCTTGCTTTTATTCCCAGGTGGCACTAGTGGTAAAGAACCTGCCTGCCAGTGCAGGAGACATAAGAGATACTTGTTTGGTCCTGGGTTGGGAAGATTCCCTGGAGGAGGGCATGGCAACCCACTCCAGTATTCCTGCCTGGAGAATCCCTTGGACAGAGGAGCCTGGCAGACTGTAGTCCATAGGGTCGCAAAGAGTCAGACATGACTGAAACGACTTAGCAAAGCAAATAAAATATTCATGTTTTGATCACAAAGCTTCAAGCCTCTCCTTGTTTGATGACGGAGTCTCAGAATCACCTGAGAGTGCCCTCATCCATTGTTTTGGCACAGGTACCAAATGCCATCACTCCTGGTTTTACCCTTTTCTGCTTCAGATCGCAACTAGCCATGCCTACTGGTCATGAGTACTTGGAAGTCCTGTCACCACCATCACTTATAAGAACACTGTTGTCTGTGCTGACGATGTGGTCCAGAAATTGCCAGGCTCCATCCAGAGTCGGCCCTGCTCTGACTCTGAACCATGTATACATGGCCACCTGGGCCTCCAGGGGTCTCAGCCTGGCCCAGAACCCTTGGTCTTAGTGAAAACCTGTCACCCTCCTCTCCACCATCCCCTTAAAGGTACAGCACAACCCCAGGAACTAATAAATATTCTCTTCATTGCTTTCCAGTCCCCTGAGTTTCAACCCTTTCCTTGGTAGGGGAGATAATTTGCCACACTAAAATGTGTTTCACTGACATGAAGATTAATATAGACTGATTATTATTTTTTAAAATTAATTTTTTTTTAACTGAAGGATGATTGCTTTACAGAATTGTATTGGTTTCCTACCAGACATCAACATGAATCAGCCACAGGTATAATATGTCCCTTTCCCCTTGACCCTCCCTCCCACCTCCCTGCTACCCCTTGTGGTAGAGCTGCAGTTTGAGTTCCCTGAGTGATACAGCAAATTCCCATTGGCTGTCTATTTTACATATGGTAATGTGAGTTTCCATGTTGCTCTCTTCATGCATCCCATCCTCTCCTTCCTCACATGTCTGTTCTCTATCTCTGTGTATCCATTGATGCCCTGCAAATAATTTCATTGGCACCATCTTTCGAGAGTCCATATGTATGCACTAGTATACGATATTTGTTTTTCTCTTTCTGATTAATTCACTTTGTATGATAGGCTGTCAGAGAAGGCAGTGGCAACCCACTCCAGTACTCTTGCCTGGAAAATCCCATGGACGGAGAAACCTTGTAGGCTGCAGTCCATGGGGTTGCTAGGAGTTGGACATGACTGAGCGACTTCACTTTCACTTTTCACTTTCATGCATTGAAGATGGAAATGGCAACCCACTCCAGTGTTCTTGCCTGGAAAATCCCAGGGACGGGGGGAGCCTGGTGGGCTGCTGTCTATGGGGTCACACAGAGTCGGACACGACTGAAGTGACTTAGCAGCAGCACGATATGGGGGAAAGAATTTTGTGTCAAATCCAGGGCTACACAGATACAAGAGTGTCCACGTTTGATGGTAAATGAGACTCAAGGATCTGAGCCCTATCTACTGGATTTCAAGGTTTTAAAAACATTTTTACTCAATTTTTTCTGATTTAAAAAATAATATAAAACTTTTATGGTAACTTAGAAGACAAAAAAAGTATTATAAGAAATCAAAAGTTTTTCTTGTTACTTCCTCCTTAACTGCTTTTTAAAGAATTTAGATAAAGGACTTAGGTCTTTCTAATGTGTACATGTTTTTGAACTTTTGTGTGATGTTCTCCTGTTAATCTGTTTTATGTCAATTTAATTCTTAGATCAGCCAGAAGAACCTAGAAGTGTAGAGGAGAATTTCTTCCTCCCTGACATCTCTTAGAAACAATCTTCTCTCCCCAAAATATTGCCCTCTCCTCTCTTTTCCATTTAGTCTTTTCAGATTTTGAGTGTCAGACTTTCCAAACTTCTTCACTTGAGCAGAATCTTCTCTTTACCTATGCATAATTTAAAAGACTTCACTGTAGCCTTTTCATTTCCTCTAAAGGACCTGCCTGCCCTCACATCTGAATTCAAATTCAAATTTCCATCTCTCATTAAACAGAAAGTACTTGAGGCTAAAACTGCACTTTTTTTTCTGACTTCTATTCTTCCATTATGTTTTAGGACAAATTTTTATTCATGACCAAAGCACAAAGCACTCTATATATGCTGGCCTGTTCTTCAGCAATTTCTGTGAAATGGAGAAACAATAATGAGAAATAAAACAAGTTGACCTTTAGTTTTATTTACCCAGAGGTCTTACAGATTCTCTCTTTGTAAGTCCTAGCACATATTTGACAGAAAGTAAATATATGTTGACTGAATAGATAGATATACTGGAGAAGTTGGTATCATATGTAAGTGCAAGATTTTTATTATTCCTCTTTTCATAAAATTATACAAGTAGAATTTATTTAGACTATAGTCTTCACATTTTTCTTTTTTCATTTTATATAATTTAAAATATAGATGTAGCAGAAATTATTTATTCCTGTCACTATTGTTAGTCAGTTTAGGCGGTTTTTACACTGCACTGAATTCCTTGTACATTAATATTTGTCTGCATGTTCACTAATTTTTTTTTTGATACATTTCCAATAGTAAAATTACTAGATTAGAGGATTTAGAACAGTGCCCAGTGCTTAGTAAATATTCAGTAAATACTTCTTCAATGATTTGAGTGATGATTTTTGATGTTGTTTAGTTGCACAGTCATGTCTGACTCTTTGCAACCGCCTGGT